CACATGCTTGCTGAAGCGCCAGCTTGTTAACGTCCAACCCAAGGTACTGGCCCACTTCTTCAACCTCATCATCGGACTGATGAGGCCGAGAATCTGGCTCCAAAATAGCAGTAAGACACTTTGGACGTATCTATCATGATTTTTACATCAATATAACACCATGAAGAGCTGTGCTATTACACACACAGAAAGTGTCGTAAGGCAGCAATAATTCAGGCATTTGGGGGCAAAACCCACAAGAACAGTACAGAAGGTGTTGACCCCTCTCCCAGCCATGCTGTCTGGAGTTACATAGAGCTGGCAGTGCTCTGCTCCATTTGTGCAGGATACCAAAAATTTGTCATCTGAACCTCTAGATCCAAATTTTTTGAAAGGGCACAGTCCAAACCTACAGCATTACTTGAGCAACTTCATTGGCTTTAAGGTCAGAAAGATGCCCTTATTTAATTTATCTCCCCACACAATGCACAGATTTTCAGCCAGAAATTAATAAAATAAGTGAATGGCAGGAAGAGCTAGAATGCATGTCCACAAAATATTTTGAATTTTAATTATATTTGAAAATGAAAGCTTTCCTCCATTGCCAGATACATAAGTGGCCACATGTGAATGCCACAGGGGAGTCCTCAAGTGCTACTTTGCGCTATTCTGGTTACAACGATCACTGAATCCATGGGGAAAAAAACTCAGCACGGAAATTACTCTTGGGTAAAGGAACTCCTTTTTGAATGCAGATGGGATTTGGTTCAATACCTGCACACATGCATTATTTTTAAGTGCATTACTTAAGTATATAAACTTACACACATATTTAAGTGTTCTTCTGGATCAGAGCCATAACGTATGAATAGTTAATGGTACGAATTAATATGCTATATTTAAAAAAAAACATGTATTTTTGAAAACACTACACTCAAGTGTTTGTAACTAATTTAGGGGCTTTCAAACTTACATTTCTAATACCTAGCAGGAGATTCACCTACAGAAGAGCAAGTTCTAAGGAACTGCATGTTACTACATGCACTTTTAAAGATACAATGGCTGGTCAAAGAACTGAAAGTTTCCAATTACATGTAAATGGCACCATAATTTTCAACACGTTTCTTGCAGCTGCTCATACTGTACTGCAAGGATATAAAATGCCACCAGTTCCAAATTACACTATATTATACCCAGTATGCTCACGGGGGAAAAGGAGGACCAAAACCACAGGGCTTTTACCTAGAATTAGAAATACAGAGCACCCTGCTCTCCAGATATTCCAGTCAAGACTGGAACAGCAGCCCCCAAAAGCTCTACAAACCCTCTCTTGAGAGTGCTACACTCATAAGCACTCAAGGCCATAGTGACACCCTTTCTGAAGGTTTCCCCTTTTTGAGGAAACAGGGATGAACGGGCAGCTAAGCAGGGACGATGACCTGTTCAGTCAAGCCCCTATATTGGGGCTGCTTCTCCTCTCAGGTCCCTCACTCTAAATCAGGAATAAGGAGTGCAAGAGGAAATCTGTCTGTCCTTGTCATGGCATGATGGCACTTTGTTGACTTGTGGTTAATCATGGGGTGTCGTTGCTCCATATTATTCCTGGCTGGTTAACTGCAGGTAGAGAATTTGGTTTTGCTACTGATAGCAGCCTGTGGGTGAGCAGGACCTCTGCTTTACGCTTTCTTGGACTCACTGCTACACAAACTTTAGCATTCGGCGGTAAAGAGGGAAGATGGTGGAAATTACAAGTCAATGGAATTTTATATTCCCTGGTCAGAGGGTTTCACGGCAGGAAGAGATCACAGCCACCTTCACTGGGTGACAAAGCTCCTTTTTTCTTCTTGGGAGTTGTTTTAGCACCATAAGTCGATCATGACTCCTGCTAGGGATGCACACTTCTCTGGCAAT